AACAATTAACAATCTTACAGTTTGGGTCATGCTCAAGCTGACTTGCCCCAAATGGCAGAGTTAGAAACATGCCAGGGGATTCCAATTCAATCCCATCAAGGAGGCATGTACCAATGCCATCTCACTAATCCCAGTGATCAGTTTCAGTTCACAACTGATCATAATGATAGGCCTAAGAATCAAAGGGATCACATAAACAAGACTAGTGTCTGCTAGTACTAACTGATAGAACAAAAAAGGGAGAGAACGATCCAACATGGGAAGCGAGATACACAGCAGACTCATAGAATGGCAGATGTCCTGAACAGCACTCTGGCCTCAGAATCAGCCCTGAAGGCAAGTGGATCTGGCTCTAGAGCCCATGAGAGTATTTTAGGCATGGAAAGCCAAGACACTCTGGCAAAAAAAAAAAAAAATGACCTAAATGAAAGATCTCCGCGAGTTAGATCCCAGTGGAAAGAATGGGCCATCAAAGAAGGAGGTACCTTTCTCTGAAGGGAGGAGAGAACTTCCACTTTGACTATGACCTTGTCTAAACATGATAAGAGTCGGTGAACTCAAAAGGCTTCCATAGCCTTGGCAACTCATGACTGGAGCCTAGGGAGATTACTGAGGACATAAACAAGAGTGTCCATTTGTTAAGTCAACAACAGGAGTCACTGTGCACTTACTCCTCATGTAGGATCTCTGTCAATGCGCCGTACATTGTGATTTAATGCTATAACTGTGGGGAGCAACTGGGAGCAACTCGGACTAGACTAAGTTACTGGAATTAAGACTTATTCTATGCATCTGCTCTCCCACAATATGGCGCTGAGAAGGGAAACAGCTTCTACACAGCTGCCTCCAGTTCAACCAATAAACTGTAGGACCTGCTCCTGATTGGAGGAGAGCAGCATACTCGGCATGTGGGTAGCAGAGTTGGGATTGGTGGAAAAGGACTATATAGGAGGAGAGAGACAACATGCACAGGGAACATCTAAGGGGAACATCTATCTGAAGGAACACCTATGCAGCCCCCGAGAGAGCCGGCCGGCAGTGTGCCGCTCGCCCGCGGAAGTGGGGAAAGTGGCTAGGGGGAACCGCCCTTCCACGGAGGTGGAAGGGACAGTAGCCAACCCGGGAAGAACCAGCAACAAACCCGGGGAGGGCCGAGCAGACAAAAGAACAGCGCAGGGTCCTGTGTCGTTCCTCCACGAAGAGGGGGAGCGACAATAACTAGTACTTAAACAGTATATTTCACTTTGTGTTTCTATGTGGGTGCAAACTGTTTAAATCTTTACTTAATATATACTAAACTGATCTTCTGTATATAAGAGAAATGAAAATAAATCTCGATGTTAATGGAAGGGGAGAAGGAACAAGAAAGGGGAGGGTTGCGGGTGGGAGGGAAGTTATGGGGAGGAAGCCATTGTAATCCATAAGCTGTACTTTGGAAATTTATATTCATTAAATAAAAGTTAAAAAAAAAAAACAATTAACAATCTTATATATGAAGTCAGTGATCACCTGAGGCTCCTGACATGAGCTGCCTAGGTATGGAAGCCTTTTGAATCCACAGACTTTTTTTCAGTATTTAGACAATGCCATAGCAAAGTGGAAGTTCTCTCCTCTCTTCCTTATTTGATAAAAAAAAAAAAAATCTTTAAAAGATTAGATCGGGGGCGGGTGCTGTGTCCCAGTGGGTTAACGCCCTGGCCTGAAGCGCTGGCATCCCATATGGGTGCCGGTTCGAGACCAGGCTGCTCCACTTCTGATCCAGCTCTTCTATGGCCTGGGAAAGCAGTAGAAGATGGCCCAAATATTTGGGCCCCTGCACCCACATGGTACACCTGGAAGAAGCTCCTAACTCCTGGCTTCTGATTGGTGCAGCTCCAACCATTGCAGCCAACTGGGGAGTGAACCATCAGATGGAAGACTTCTCTCTCTCTCTCTCTGCCTCTCCTCTCTGTGTAACTCAGACTTTCAAATAAAAATTAATAAATCTTAAAAAAAGATTAGATTGCTGGCCCAAAACGTGGAAAACAATAGGAGCCAACATTTAAGAACAAGCACAAAATCTGCAGAGCATTATTTCAGGTAGTGTGCACCAGAGAGCATCTCCTATCAAGGAGGAACTCAATGACCAGAATGATAAGATGACCCATCTGATGGAAGCCAGCCACCATCTTTCCCTAGCAACTGCAGTGTTTTTTTAGTGCATTTATGTAAGATGCAGCCATGGCACCTGGGATGAGGATTGCACAGACAAAATAGCAAGTCCTTCTATTCACCAATATATCTATTCATCAATATCAGTGGTCAATACTGAACCTCAATGTAACATAACTTCTTGTTAGAAGACAGATTTCCTACTACCTAATATTAGGTTGGATTACACTAGACTATTTCTATAATAGAGGAATGACAGTCTTCACAAGGAAAGACATTTTTCTGGTTATAGACTGCCTCCCTGGCCATAATTCTCAGGCAGAACCAATATTCACACACTTAAAGAATACCTCTTCTATCACCGTGATATCTAAGACAACATCACCTAAAACTAGATGTCACATTTTATGGAATTTATCATCTCACCACAAGTCCTATTTCTGAGAAGAAATGACTGCATTGAATGATGAAATGAGCTGCTAACTTCCTCATCTGCACCCCTTCATGGTAAAGGCACTTTGCTACAAGACTCAAACTAAATAAGGAGCTAATGTATCTTTGTCTCCATTCCCTGCTCTGGTGTAGCCTGAATGCACATGTCTGGAGAGTGAGGAGGCAGAACTGAAAGACTCCTATCAATATTACACCAAAAATAAATACTTAAGGAATGTTTATTTCCCATATCCACAACATTGACTTCAATAGTATGAATGACCCTGTGAGTGACAGGAGAGCTGATGGGATGACTTTGAGTCCTCTGGGGTGGAATCATGAATTCCATCAACTGGACTAAAGAAAATTGGACACTTATGGGCAAAAGGACTTGACCATGACTTGAGAACATCATTTTTCCTTCCAGGTCCATTCTCTATGTGACTCTGTTTCCCATGAGAGTGACCTTGAGGATCTCTCATGACCGACCACCAACCACAGGCCCCACCTCTTATCCCCCAACATTGATGATTAGGGTCAACATGTGAATTTGGGGGGACACATTCGCAGCACTGCAAGGGGAACAAAGGAATAGGAAGAAAAGCAGGAATGCAGTAGTAAAGTGAAATCAGATGTACACACAGTAGCTGACCAAGTACCATCCAAATCAGGCTCAACCAAGAACAACCATTGACGTTAACTTGCCTCTCCCTGCAGGAGACACAGCATAACTCAAAGGAGCTCAGCCTCAACAGCAAACAGAGTGACAGTTACAGCATCAGGGCCCCTCAAAGAGCACCAAACACCTCCTCCCATGACCTTGGCATAATCTCACAGACAGAGCTGCACACAGCTGATGTGTTTGCCTCCATCTAGAACTCTACATGGCAAAGCTCATAGAGATATTTTATGAACAGATTTTGTTTATGCTTGGTAATGCAAAATCAAAGCCATGCAATGGTGTGGAATTCTCAACATGTTGTTCAATTACTGATTGGATAAATAGTATTGTCAGTGGAACCTTGGAGGTAAAAAACCAATGGTGTGAGTCTGGTTTGACTTTCACTGAAGATGGAACTGTGGTAAGAGTCTGTAAATAGATTTGAATCACATGGAAGACAAGGGCCCTCAAGAAACAGGCACAGACATTAGATACTCTGTTCCAACCAACTCAAGAAATAAAAATGGTAAAATGATATTTTTCCGGAGGGGGGGGCATTTATAAGTCTTGGGTGTGATGCTGACTTTGGTTTTGCTGGAACTGAAAACACTGATCCCATTGTCTATGGTCATGAATGCTGAATTGCAGAATGCCAGGTGACCTTATATCCAATCATTGCATTCTCTAGAATTTAAACAATACTCTCTATGCTTTTCCACACACTGCTGTTGACATCTCAGATCACATCATTCTTGGTTTTACACAGAAGATGTCCTGTGCAGTATATGATGCTTCTTGGAATTCCTGGCCTCTAGTCAGTGCATAACAATCACATTCCACCTCAGCCCCTACCCCACCCTTACACACCCACAGTGGTGATGATACCAACACATGGCCAAATGTTTCTGGGAGAATGGAGAGTTGTCACATGACATATTGCATAGGATTCACTTACAGAAAATACATGGTTTATTGTTTGAAATTCAAACAAAAGTTGTCCAAACCTATATTTAATTGCTAAATCTGTTAATCCAATCTGAGAGACAATTTCACATCTATCTCTCACAACTCATGTCCCATTTGAGGACAAATGCTCTTGCCCCTGATGAGTAGTGGACAAAAATTGCAATGTTGAGGTTTAGAGAATGTAATTACTAGACTTTCATTTTGAGGAAAACAGTATAACACACCTGAGCTCTGCTCCCAAGTCAGTACTGCTCTGGTCAGCATTCCATTTGCACAGATGAGTTATTCACACCCCAGTGAAACATATGGATCCTATTTGATTAAGCAACTCAAATTGGGATTTCAGATGTCCCAACCACATCCAACCCTGGGAAGACTTTCCTGACAGCCAAAGTAGCAAAATAAATGCAGTGGTTGGTTGTACCCTCTGTTTCCTGGGTTTCTGCCAAATCTAATCAGTGTTCTCTTTAAGGTATTTTGTATTGAAGACTTTACTCAGTCACTAAGAATACATTAGGGAATCACTATATTCCTAAGTTGTACTTATGAAATGCATGAAGCTGGTATTCCTTAAATAAAAAGTTTCTTTGGGAAAAAGAAAATACATTAGGGAGAAATTAACTTGAAATACTTGCCTCTGTGCCTCATTCAGGGCTTCCTAGAAAGAGGGGATACTTGTGTTCCAAGCACAGAATGTCCATGTTGGAACTCACTAGAACAACTACGTGTTCTTTTATATATCTCCCAGGTTGTTAGCTGACTTATAGAAAGAATCAAAGATACTTAGAGCTGCAAATTGATGTACTTTATTCTTCCCCCTCCTTATTACAATTCCAGTTCCTCTGTCTCTGACAGTCTGGGATTTGGAGATGGCTTCCTGGTCCCACACCACAGAGCTCTCATCTGTAGAACATCAGCACAGCTGCCTCGGTGATCTCCCGGCTGCTGCTATAACCCTGATGAGTTCCATATCCACTCCAGTCAAAGGCGGAGAAATCCCCACACTGCCTGGGATTGCCCTCCGGGAAGAATCCTCCTCCACCGATGCAGTGCTGGGAACACGAAGAAGGGACACAAGAAGGGCTGAGATTCACTGCTGACACCAGTGGGTAATTAATGGCCAAGTTCTCTGGAGTCCTTGGCCAGAAACTCTAAGACCTTGACCACTCCCTCCCCCAAAACCCTGTCCTCCAAAGGATTTAATGGTATTTATCTTTTTTCTTAATTTTTCTGTGATTTTCTTTTTTGAAGAGACAGAAAATCTTTATTTATTAGAAAGAAGGAGTAACAAGCCGGCGCCGCGGCTCACTAGGCTAATCCTCCGCCTAGCGGCACTGGCACACCAGGTTCTAGTCCCGGTCGGGGCGCCGGATTCTGTCCCGGTTGCCCCTCTTCCAGGCCAGCCCTCTGCTGTGGCCAGGGAGTGCAGTGGAGGATGGCCCAGGTGCTTGGGCCCTGCACCCCATGGGAGACCAGGAAAAGCACCTGGCTCCTGGCTCCTGCCATTGGATCAGCACGGTGCACTGGCCCGCAGCGCACCGGCCGCAGCGGCCATTGGAGGGTGAACCAACGGCAAAAGGAAGACCTTTCTCTCTTACACTGACTGATTCAATCCCAAAATGACTATGAGTGAGGCTGGGTCATGCAAAATCAGAAGTGAGGAACTTCATCTTTGTCTCCACATGAGTGCAAGGACTCTAGTACTTGAACCACCATCTGCTGCCTCCCAACAGCATTTAAGGGGGAAGGGTACCTGGGCCAGCACTATGTGCAGTAAGTTAACCCTCCACCTGTAACGCCAGCATCCCATGTGGGCGCTGGTTCTAGTCCCAGCTGTTTTGCATCTGATCCAGCTCTGCTATGGCCAGGGAAAGCAGTAGAAGATGGCCCAAGTCCTTGGGCTCCTAAGCTCATGTGGGAGCCCCGGAAGAAACTCCAGGCTCCTGGCTTCAGATTGGTTCAGCTGAGCCATTGCAGCCATTTGGGGAGTGAACCAGTGGATGGAAGACCTTTCTGGCTCTCCCTCTCATTGTCTGTAACTCTACCTCTCAAACAAATAAATAAAATTCTTAACAAAAAAGGAAGCAGTTTACAAAGCACAGTGGACAAGACTCAAACAAGGCACTCAAATATGGGATGCAGTTGTCCCAAGCAGCAGCTTAGCCCATTGCACCAAAACACAGGACATTCATTCGGGGCATTCATTCTCAGACCCACCAACTGAGCATTCATCTGCACATTTCCTAAGTACTTAAGGCTCAGTCTACACCTCAGTTTCCCTGTTATGCTGGCTCAACTTCTCATGACTTTAAAGCATCATCCAACAGCACTGAGTCCCAAATCTCTCATTCCTGCCCAGATATTGCTTACACTTGAGACTTCCATATACAACCAACTCAAAGGTGTGTCTACTCAGATATCTCACAGGTATCTGAATGCCACCTGAGAGAAAGGAAAAACTCTGTTCACTTCCCTTGAATTGTTCTGCAACCTGTCTTAGGTAACTGAAAACACACAGTTACCAAAACACCTGGTAATCAAAACATGTTCAGTCTATCACCTGTGCGTCTCTGGAGCTCATCCACCCTTATCAAGAACACACTGACTGGGTCAGCATTGTGGCATAGTGGGTAAAGCTGCCACCTACAATGCAGGCATACTCTATGGGCACTGATTGAGACCAGCTGCTCCACTTCTGATCTAGCTCCCTGCTAAGGCACCTGGGAAAGCAGCAGAAAATGATCCAAGTGCTTGGGTCCCTACACCCACATTAGAGACCTGATAGAATCTCCCTTCTGATACAGCCAGAACAAGCCCGAACAAGCCCTGGCCTTTGCAGCCATTTAGAGAGTGAATCAGCACACAGAAGATTCTCTACTCTCTCTCTCTCTCTCTCTCTCTCTCTCTCTCTCTCTAGTTCTCTCCATTCCTCCCTCCTTCCCTCTCTTTTTGTAACTCTGACTTTTAAAAAAGTAAATAAATCTTTAAAAAAAATTAAGGAGACATGACTCAGATACACCCTCTTCTACAATACGACTTGAACCTAATTCAAATTCCCCTTGCCACTAATTTATCTGCCCTTGAATCCACATCTTCCACACACACATTGGAATCATCTTAGTAAAACCAAAGCTGATCAGGGCAGTTCTCTTTAAAATTCCCCAATGATTTTCATCTCCCAAAATATATACTCCCATGCTCTGGTTCCTGTAGGTATTTCCGTCATCAGCCCCTTGCTCTATCTCATGCTACAAAATTACACAACACCTTGCTGCTCATTCAACACACCAGGATTTCTCACACACCAATGATTCTGAACATGTTATGCATACATATATCTTGGTGAACCCCATTAAAGTAAGTTCTGTTCATATGACACATTATAATAGTAAAGGATATGAGAATAAGACAATAGATACACACAGGCACACCAATATACAGTCACACAGAGACAAACACACCTATACACACACCCACATGGAAATGGTCTCCAGAAAAACTCACTAATTCAGTGTTACAGCCAGTAACTCTCATCCCAGCACACAGCGCGTTGGCTGCTCTCTCATTGTTAAACACCCTGAACTGGACAAATCCGGCAACAAATTCATCTGAAAAAGAAGAGGTAAAGAAACAGTCAAATATTCAAACAAAGGGCTAGAAACAGTTTTTGATCTGCTCATCAATACCTTAAGCCCAAATTCCAGCATACAGTCCAACCCAGCACCTCTGTCTGTGGCCAGTGACAGATGCACTGAACCCTGAACTAATCCTTGTGGGAACTTCCTTCCATGAGGAAAGACAGAGCTAACCCTAGGGCTTTACAAAAGGATGCTCTTCTGCCTAGGACATGGGGGAGAAATGAAACTCAGTACGGAGATCATCAACAAGACCTTACAAGGTCCAGCAAGGATCAGCCATGGTCAGGTGTCACCACCTGCTTCTCTTCACACTTCAATTGCCAGGTGTGGATCCTCCCATCATCACCAGCACTTATCCACACAGAAAAGTATAACCTTTTGCCAATCTATGACTTAACACTTGCAATTTTATTATACCAGAAGGAGTTTGTCTTATGATCATTAACAGCTATCCTTCAGTACAGAAATTAATTTCTCTACCACATTGCCAGTTTTTCTTTCCTGGGAACAGTATCCCATGCCTTGCCTTACCGCTTGCAAGCGGCAACTTCCTTCTCTTGTTCTTCTCATATCCAGAGTAACATAAGTTGGTGTGGGTATACCCTATTCAAGCATATTATATCACTTCTGCATTTATTTTCTTAGAAATAGGATTATTTTGACAAATTGTATGAGTATTTCTGTGACAGTGTTATTGTCTGTATATAATTTACAAATTCCTTCTTCTCTACTTTGATTCTTGACAAACAAAAAGGGAAAGATACAAAAATATAAAACAGCATTTGGAAAAGAAAAAAGAAAGTAATTTACAGGTGGCAAGTTAAGGCAGTGGATTTAAAAAAAAGAAACCTAGGTTTAACTCCTCTGAAAATACTAACTCCATCATTGTCTCATGATAAATACATGACTGAAGACCTTGTCGAGATTCTAGAGAAGACTCAGGCCCGTTGTAAGTGCTCGGTGAATACCAGCAATAATGAACTATCAGTGATAATTTCCCGTAAAGGCACCAAAAGGTTAATGATGGCACTCACTCCGACCCAGAGGTGAGTAATAAGATGCAGTTTTCTCAGCATCACCAAAGTCATAGAGCACAGGAATCGCTGGGCCGTTGTCAGTCCAACACTTCCCCGAGCCGTACTTCACTGGGTATGTCTTCAAGGCGAAAAGAGAAGTTGAGTGAGGAGAGTGGAGCAGCTGCCAAATTGTGACAAGGTAGGAGGTCCTACAAGCCAATTCATAATTCAGAAACCACTTTCAATAACACTGATTCCTTTCTCCCCAGAGTTATGTCTCTCCAATAGTCCCAAGCTCCTAGTCCCTGCCTTTCTCCACAGCCTCCATAGATCTCCGCCCTTTCTTGGCTCAGACTTCTGGGAGAGGCAGGACATGGGTTCACAGTGAACCACAAGTAGGAGAAACAGGCAAGCACAGGTGCTCAGAGGTTATGTGGGACCAACAGAGCTGACTTGCTCCACCCCTAACACATGCTCCCTGTTCCCCAAAGTGCCCACATCCAGAGCCCTGTGTACCTGGTAGAGGCCAAACAGATTGTGTCCCAGATGCTGGAAGAAGCCAGTGTTGGTGCGGTACCTCAGCAGGGAGCTGTTCCTCCAGTGCTGCAGGGGCGTCTTGTTGGGCACGTGCCAGATTTCCAGGTCCTGGGCCTGGATGTCGTAGTAGCCGGGGTTCTGGGGAGCAGCACATACTGAGACAACCAGCCCAGGAGGTCCCATCTGGCAGAAGACCCCCATGGGCAGCCCTGGCTAAACTGGTGGCTCGGAGCTCAGGTGGGACATGGACAGCAGCCTCAGACAACCCCACGTTCAGCAAACAATGACTCCCCACCACTACCCCAGTCCATCATGTAGACATCTAAGCCTTCTTCTCCAACCCTACTCCATGTCCCTACCCGAGAGAACTCCCTCCTGCCCACCTGTGGCCCTGCAAACTCAACTCCTCACCTTGCCCAAGGTGGGAAAGAGGCATGGTACCTACCTTGTAGTCATCATTTGTGGCTGCCTCCGCAGACCCAAATGTGTTGTAATTTGCCCAGTTGCCATCCCCCTCTGGGTAGTCTGCTCTGCTGCCCTGCTGACTGGACCAGCGATCACCCAATGTACACTTCCCAGCCATGAGGTTCTCATGCACACTGGCCACCAGGGTCCAGCCACCACCCCCTGAGGTCATGTCGCAGAAGGTCTGGTAGATGACCCCATTCTCAGTGCGGAGGAAATACAGGCCATCTGTAGAGGGGACCAGATATGCAAGCCCGTGGTGGGGCTCAGTCCACACACAGTAAGGCCCTGGGCACCAGGAACACAGCGTAATGTCTCCCCCACCCTGCATCCTTTACCAAGTGTGCCCAGGGCTGCTGCAAGATCCCCCAGGTTCAAGAGTTCATTTTCCTGTGCCTGGAGCAGAGCCTAGAATCACCGAAATCTTTAGCAACATTCCTCAGAAGTTCAACATGGAACCATCATGACTCAGCAATTCCATCCCAAGTTGCACCCACAGCAACTCACACAGGTACCTGTACAGGTATCACACAGATATCTGTGATGTTCATCACAGCATTAGTGCAAGAGGCAAAATGTAGGAATAACGTGAACACACATCAACAAATGGATGCACAAAGTATTCTCTCTCTCTCTCTCTCTCTCTCTCTCTCTCTGTGTGTGTGTGTGTGTGTAAACATATGAAAAGCATAAAAAGCATTGAGTTACCCAATGGTAAACCACAGACTAGCCTCATAACATGATGAAAGTAAAATATCCAGGCATAAAGGGCTAAGGGCTAATGGTTCTCCTTCGGGGAGGTGATGAGAAGAGGCAAATTCATAGTGAGGGAAAGTAGAGCAGCAGTGACCACAGCTGGAGGACAAGGAGAATATGGAGTTAGTGCTTAGTGGGCACTGAGTGTCTGCAACCACTCTGTGAAATTAAAATGTTGTAGAGATGCAGCCTGTGATAGCTGCACACCAGTGGGAAGGTGGTTAATGACAGTGAGTTAACCACTAAAATTATCTAAACTGGAAAATGTTACCCAGTATGTTATATATGGGTGTGTGTATTTGTGTGTATATACATATATATATATATTCCTATGTATATACTTATATATGTATTCAGAAAAGTAGTAGCTACATACATTTAAAGAAAAAGAATATTGATATATATTTATTATACAACTGATATATATGAATATATATTTTGCCACAAGTTTTTCAAAACTTCTAAAGGAAACTACACTCTCAGAGGACAGACCCTGACCACACTGCCTGGTTCTGCCTAGATGTCTCAGCACTCACCGCGTGATTTAGGGCACTCCTGTTTGATTTCCTTGCAGCTTCTGGGCAGATTTGGAGAATACGAACAGTTCCATTCCGAGGGATCTGTATAGGCCACAGCTACAGAACAAGAAGAGTTCGAATCTCATTCCTGCTTTGACAAAAAACCCAGTGTCCTTTTGTCCCAGATCCCAAAACCATTGTACCCCTACTGCAGTGCCCAGCTGCCCGCGATCCACAGCCCTGGGAGACCCAGATCAGCTCCATAAAGCTCTGCTGACCCTGCACTCAGCAGGCTGCATGCACAACCCCTCCACTTTACACCAACTGTGACCCTCCTTGCCCTAGACACTGGGCATTCCAACACACTCAACATCACCAAGAATTGCCTCCCCAGGGACGAATGGATACTCAACAAAATTATATGGAGAAGAATAAATGAAAAGAGATAGACATGCCAGCAAACCAAAGTGTGTGATATGAGAGGGGATAGGCCAGAATGGAGGCAGGAGTTGTCAGGATGGGATGTGTGAGGCCCAGGAGGATTCTGAGTCCAGGCGACCCCCAAGTGTGTTCTTAGGAAATATACAAGATTTCTCTGTAGGATGAAAGAGAAGTGAATTAAAGACAGGGCAAACACTACATCCAAGACTCTGTAAAAACAAAGGAAATCATAATCCTACCTACTGAAGAAATTAAGTAGCTTAACATGGCTGAACCTGAGGTGTGATATAGGGAAGAGGGAGACAGTGGCCAGGAGACTAACAGAGGCACAGAATGAAGACCATTGTATTGTTCGGCGCCGCGGCTCACTAAGCTAATCCTCTGCCTTGAGGCGCCGGCACACCGGGTTCTAGTCCCGGTCAGGGCGCTGGATTCTGTCCCGGTTGCCCCTCTTCCAGGCCAGCTCTCTGCTGTGGCCCGGGAGTGCAGTGGAGGATGGCCCAAGAGCTTGGGCCCTGCACCCCATGGGAGACCAGGATAAGTACCTGGTGCCTGGCTTCGGATCAGCGCGGTGTGCTGGCCACGGCGGCCATTGGAGGGTGAAACAACAGCAAAGGAAGACCTTTCTCTCTGTCTCTCTCTCTCACTGTCCACTCTGCCTGTCAAAAAAAAAAGACTATTGTATGTAACTCCAGCTCTGTAAACTGCTCTAAACGTCCGGAGGATTGGAACAACCATGATCTGCGAGGGCAGGGATGTTCAAGTGCAAGGGCCCCAACCTCACCACTGCATCCTTGGATTTAACTTCACATAATGAAGCCTCATCATCCTCATTCCTCAAATAAGCTAAGAACTAAGTTTTCTGAAGATTAAGAAAGAAGATATCTGAAAACATTGTTTTTCATAAAAAAAACTGAAGAAAGAAAAATACAGATGTTCAGATGTCATCACTCTGAATTTTATAGGAAAACCATCAAGACAACATTTCTGAGGATGAAGTTGACTATGCCCTTCCCATGGAAACTCAAGGTTAAGACCACAGGATGAGGAATAGCACAGGACAGACAGTTTCACTGGAGCCTCCACAGGATCACACAGAGGCACAGAACCTGGCCCCAGCCAGTGCCACGGGAAACACCCTATCAGCTATGGCTCTGTACCCCTGGTGGCCAGATCAGCAATCAGCCCACATGCCTGTCGATCTGTGAATCTCAAAAACACCCTCTCTAGCCTGGATCTAGCCTAGTTCTGCTGTTAAGCTCCAAAGCTGAGCTGGGAACCTGCCGCTCCCAGTGTGAGACCCACCTGCACTTTGCCATCCTGTGGCCACAAGGAGGAGCAGCAGGAAGCCCCGCTGGGTCATGGCAACCTAAAGAGAAGGAAGATGAAGGTCACAGCCTTGACATATTGAGTCTCTAAGTCCTTGCTCCATTAGACACTGCTATAAAGACTCTAGGATCCCTTGCCTTTGGTTAAACTCACACATCCCTGGGACCCACATCACGGCCACCTCCCTGAGTTGAAGACGGGGCTCTTGCACTCACAGAGCTTGTTTCTGTCCCAGTTGCACCTTCTCCAACACGGATCACACCGTCCTCCCCTCCAAGCCAGCACAACAGCTAAGTGGAGACAGGGAACAGTCTCTGTGGAGGCTCCTGGTGCAGGGTGAGAAGCTGAGCCCTTTATGGTGAAAGCCCCATGGGGCCCCACACCCAGGTGTCCACCTCACCTCACTGGGCTCAATGCCCAGTGGAGGGACAGCCCTAGTTTTCTCAAGGAGGGTCCTTAAATCAATATTAATTTGTGTAATTTCAAGTTCTGAAAAAAAATTCCTAAGGTCATTTACAGGCATGCATCCAAAATTTGGGGAACTCATAGACCATCGCCTTCTCCAAAAGAAAACACAAGTAGGTGAGTAAACCACCCAGAGTCGGTATTATTCAGTGTGTGTGTGTGTGTGTGTGTGTGTGTATCTTTCCTTCTGGTAGAAACTTTTTAAAATTAACCATGTACCATCTTCAAAGAAAAAGGAAATTTTAACACAAACCAGAAAAGGGTCATTTCAGAATCAACGTAAACATTCAGGCTGATAAATGCATGGTTACAGAGACTCGCCTCTGTTTTGTTTTGTTTTGTTTTTTCATTTTCCATCGACTGGTGAAACTTTGCTACAAATGCATTTGGGAATAAATCAGAACAAATTCTCTGCAATGCCTCACCCCTCCTGTATCATTCCTGTCCTGATGTCATTCTTCAGGACCTGAAAGTCATGTTCAGCTATAATAGAATTGGTCAGATCCTCCTCAATAAAACTATATGCCTAACATAAGTTTACTACAGCCTCGGTGATAAGCAGTCTTCAGGAAAAATCACAAATGATTTTTAAGCCAATATTTTCAGGGTTTATATGTTCAAAGTACTGCTTTAAACGAAATCCTCAAAAATGCTGAGTTAAAAAACAGCACCAAGAAGAAAAGCTCAGTAGAACATTAATAACTCTTTCATACTTTTCTCATTGATTTTTGAAATGCTTTGGATTTTCAGCATCATTAACATCTCATTCTCAGGGATACATGAATCTTGGACAAATTTGCAATGGACAGCATCTAAGAATCTAGGGAAAATGAAAATCTGTGGTAGGGAGGTCACCCCTTCGACCACCATCGTCCTACAGTGACTGTGTCCATTGGCTGACTCGTCCTCCCAGTTCAGGTCTGCATCTGTGATGCAGCTTTCAGCTCTCAGGGGGGTGATGAGAACTCAGCTGATTGCAGCATCACCTGTCCCTCCTGGGTACACATAACCCAGAACCTGGACTTGAAGCTGAGCCAAAACTCTAAGACAGGCACTCCAAGGTGGGAGGAGGCATTTCTCAGTACCGGCTTAGCTACTAGCCAAACACCACTCCTTTTGGATCTATCTTAGGAGGCGGCCTGCATTTCCCAGAACCCTAGTCCATTTTTCCCCTTGTCTGGCTGCCCAGAGAAGAATCACATGCTCACTAGGTCAGGATGGCTGCCATAACAGAATGCCACACTTGTGGCCAAAACACTGCAAATTGTCTGGGCCTCAGTTCTGGTGGCTGCAAGCCCATGAGTGACATGTGGCCAGCTCTGTGCTCTTCTCAGGCCTCCAGCCTTAGCTTGCAGGGGGCCACATTCTAGGCGCTACTGTGGTCACTGTGCATTCTTCCCTGGTTTCCTCTGTGTGACTGTGTTTCCTCCTCTTATAAAGAAGCCAGTCATACTATCAGAGCCCACCTAACAACGTCTTCCTCACAAAGTCACATCTTTAAAGACCCTCCTTAAAAAACTGTCACAGGGGCCGGCCCTGTGGCATAGTGGGTAAAGCCAAGTCTGCATACCAGCATCCCATATGGGCACTGGTTTTAGTCCTGGTTGCTCCATTTTTGATCCAGGTCTATGCAACGGCCTGGGAAAGCAGTGGAAGATGGCCTAAGTCCTTGGGCTCCTGCACCCACATGGGAGACCTAGAAGAAGCTCCTGGCTCCTGGCTTCGGATCCACTCAGCTCCAGTCATTGTGGCCATTTGAGGAGTGAACCAGAATATGGAAGACCCCTGACTCTCTGTAACTCTGCCTTAAGCATAAATAAATAGATCTTTAAAAAAATAAAGTTGGGGCTGGTGCTGTGGGACAGTAGGTTAACACCCTGGTCTATAGTGCCAGCATCCCATGTGGGCAGCAGTTGAGACTCGGCTGCTCCACTTCCAGTCCAGCACTCTGCTAAGGCCTGGAAAAGTAGTGAATAGCCCAGGTCCTTGGGCCCCTGCTCCTGTGTGGGAGACCCAGAGGAGGTTCCTGGCTCCTGGCTTTGGATTGGGACAGCTCCAGCCATTGCGGACATCTGGGGAATGAACCAACAGATGGAAGATCTCACTCTCTCTCTCTCTCTCTCGCCCTCTCTCTCTCCCTCTCTCTCCCTCCCTCCCTCCCTCTCCATCTCCCTCTCCTTCTCTTTTTGTGTAACTCCTAATTTCAAGTAAAATAAATAAAATCTTTAAAAACAAAAAATCATATGCTGAGGCCTGGGTATTAGGACTTCAGCATAACAATTTTGGGTGGACACAACTCAGACCACAGCACATGCTCACTCGTGATGCAGCCTCTGGCCAGGGGGATGACACAATCCCAATGGCCTCAAACTCAGCATCTCAGCTAGGATTGATACTGAAGCATCTGACATCAAGGCCCTTCCCTGGCCACATTACAGAGATAGGGACCAGGGTTGGAGCAACAGTTTCAGCTGCCATTTGGGACTCTCATGTCCATTGAGTGCCTGCCACTCTGCTTCTGTCCAGCTGACCATTAATATGCCTGGCAAGACACCAGAGGATAGCCAAGTACTAGGGCCCCTGAAACTCATGGGGGAGACCCTCATGGGGTTACTGTCCACTAGCATTGGCCTGACACAAGCAAGGTTATTGCTGCAATTTGGGGAGTGAAACAACTGACGGGAGCCAGCGCTGTTGCATAGCGGGGGAAGCCAGTACCTGCAGCACCAGCATTCCATACAGGCACTGACTCAAGTCCCAGCTGCTCCACGTCCCATCCAGCTCCCTGCCAATGTGCCTGGGAAAGCAGCAGAAGATGGCCCAAGTCCCTGGGCCCCTGCATCCACGTAGGAGATCTGGATGAAGCTCCAGGCTCCTGGGTCAACCTGGTCAGCTCTGGCTATTGTGGCCATCTGGGGAGTGAACCAGTGGATGGAAGATCTCAGTCTCTGTGCCTCTGCCTCGCCCCCTCTGTAACTGACTCTCAAATAAATAAAGAATCTTTTAAAAAAAAACAGATGTAAGATCTCTGTCTCTTTCTCTTCCCCACTTCTGTCACTATGGAAAAATAAGCAAATATTTTAGAAGGAAATGATTCTCATCATTTCTAGCTAAATTTCATCTCCATTATTTTTTTCTCATTATTTTTTGTCATATGATTTTTTTGTCCTGTATACTGAGGTTTTTTGAAAGTTTATTTATTGGGTCTGGCGCTGTGGCTTGGTGGGTTAAACCTCTGCCTGAGGCACCAGAATCTCACATGGGTGCCAGTTCCTGTACCTGCTGCTCCTCTTCCTCTCCAGCTCTCAGCTATGGCCTCAGAAAGCAGAGGAAGATGGCCCAAGCGTTTGGGCACCTGCACCCATGTGGGAGATCAAGAAGGAGCTCCTGTCTCCTGGTTTAGGATCAACCCTGCTGTTGTGTTTATTTGGAGAGTAAACCAGTGAATGCAAGACCTTCCTCTCTGTTTCTCCCTCTCTGTAATTCTACCTCTCAAATAAAAAAAAATTAAAAAGTCTTTATAAAAGATTTATTTATTTATTTGAGAGGCACAATTCAAAGAGGGAGAGATAGAGAGGTCATCCATCCTCTGGTTCACTCCCCAAATGGCTTTGGATAGAGTTGCTTCTAGTGGGTTTAAATGTCTCACAAGAGTCAACCCCTGTCAAAATAACTCAGAATGTAACTAAGTCAATAATTGTGCCCTGAGAAGAGATGTATAATTTGGGACATGCTCAGGCTGACTTGCCCCAAGTGGTGGAGTTGGAAGCATACCAGGGGATTCCAATTCAATCCCATTGAGGTGGCATGTACCAATGCCATCTCACTGTTCCAGGTGATCAGTTTCAGTTCACAGTTGTTCATGGTGAAGGGACTGGGAGTCAAAGGGAGCACATAGACAAGTCTAGTACCTGCTAACGCTAACTGATGGAGTAAATAAAGGGGAGAGTGATCCAACATGGGAAGTGAGATACTCAGCAGACTCATAGAATGGCAGATGTCCTAAATAGCACTCTGGCCTCAGAATCAGCCCTAAAGGCATTCGGAGCTGGCTGAAAAGCTCATGAGAGTATTTCAGGCATGGAAAGCCAAGACACTCTGGCAAAAGATCTCTGCGAGTGAGATCCCAGTGGAAAGAACAGGTCATCAAAGAAGGAGGTACCTTTCTCTGAAGGGAGGAGAGAACCTCCACTTTGACTATGACCTTGTCTAAACAAGATAAGAGTCGGAGAACTCAGAGGGCTTCCATAGCCTTGGAAACTCATGACTGGAGCATAGGGAGATTACTGATGCCATAGACAGGAGTGTCAATTGGTAAAGTCAACAACAGGAGTCACTGTGCACTTACTCCTCATGTAGGATCTCTATCCTTAATGTGCTGTACATTGAGATTTAATGCTATAACGAGTACTCAAACAATATATTTCACTTTGTGTTTCTATGGGGGTGCAAACTGTTGAAATCCTTACTTAATGCATACTAAACTGATCCTCTGTAAAAAAAAAAAAAAAAAAAAATTATCAATTCCCAACTTGACTCTCACTGGGATTAAACATGACAATAGGTCTGCTCTGA